CTGAACCTACCTCGGCACCTTGGTGGACAGAGCATTTTGTACAGTTCGGACAATTCTTATTGCCCCAGTTTCTGCGGGAGAAAAAGGCCTATGAGGAGCTTGATAACTGCCGATTGACAAATCTTTTGCGGGTAGGCAAGTGACGAGATGACGGGACATAGTCGTACGCTTTTGATCCCTAACTTTTGCCTGGACCGCCCTTTCGGGTTTTCAGTCCATCGGGATACCCTTTTTTGCCCAAGCCGCCTTTTCAGGTTTTCGACTTGCCGGGTGTACAGATTTTTTTATTTTCATCCCTTATTTTTGCCCGAACCATTTTGGTTCGCAGGGAAGCCCTTATTTTTGCCTAGGCCAATCGACCTAGCGGGTCTTTGATTATGCGTAGTACTTTTTTGACTATGTCCATGCTCTCAGAGTGTAGGGAGTTGTCGCTGTCAGTAGTGTTGTGTTGCCACATTACCAGAAGATGTTTGATCGTGCAAGATTCGTTGCTGGAATTCATGTCCAATGCCCCTAGTGATTCAGATGGAGATTTGCCCCTGGCTATTTGTCATTTTGAGAGATTCCTTGAATCTTGACTTGACTGCCCCAGATGATGGACAATGGTTATGTCTGCCCCTTGGTTGGAGGTGTTTTTTCCACTTGAGGTGACTCTTTTTGTTGAGAAGGTTTTTGTTCACTAGATGTTCGTCGTGGGAATTTCTCTGCTGTTCGAACAAATAGCCATATGCAAACAATGTTATTCTAAGAATGCAAAGCTTATGTCTGTCTTGAAGTTTTTGAAAATGCAGTTTTCAATAAAACAAGTGAATTTTTGTAAAACGTGATGTCAACTCAGGATTTTACAGCAAGCCCTACAGGAGTCAGGATACCTTTTGTAACAGTATGCTTTCGAACTAACCCATGCTTCAGCTAGGACTTTTTAAGGGTTATAACGTGTCCTGGTTCACGGTTTAAGAAACAAAGGATGAAGGCTCAAAGTATATTTGTACCCACCCATTCTTCGTGATGTTCTTCGATCCTAAACTCAGCTAATCGTGCATTAGATCTTGTTTGAGTCTTTGCTCTGATATTCCGGTGATGGTTCGGATACCGACAATTTATTTTGAACAGGCAGTCATTTCTTTTTTGGTTGAGGGTTTGTAGGACCTCTTTCTTTTTTGATTTTGTTATCCCTATTTTTTTCCTGAACTGTTTCTTTTGTGATTACAGTCAGCGGGATGCCCCAGTTTTTGTAAGTCTCCTTCATAGGTTTTGACTTATTGGGCTTTTGTTTTTGAAAGATAACGACTGCCTATCTTGACGATTATAGGGAACCATCACTGTCTTTTTGTCTCGAGAGGACTTCTTTGATGCCATTCATTGTGCACTTGGATCAACTGAGAGAACTACCCTGCCCCAGGTTTTGATTAAGGGTTTTAATTTTTGTGAAAAGAAAAACTCCAACTTCTTTGGCTCAAAGGGGTTGACTAGGGATCATCTTCCTTATAACTCCACTGTTTAGGATTTGAAACAATGCTTGTACATCGTCAGCGGGGTCTGTTCAAAAGTATACTGTAAAGATCGTGGTATCGTTTTCGTCATCCTCCCTCAAAAGGTTTAGCATTTTTAATCGAGAGTTGAACATCAAAAGATGAAAGCAATTTTAAGCATAGTGAAAACAATTAATTCAAAACAGACACGTGTGATGCATTAATGAAATAAAAGAGTTTGACATGATAATTGTTCGAGTAAGCAAAGAAAAATACAATTTCAGAATTTAAATGAACAAAAGTCTCTCAATCCTAGCCATGTTTTGGCAAGGGAGCAGTGATCACATTGGGAGTCTCAGAAGGCTTGAATTCGATCTCCTTTGCGTCAATCATATTCTAAATCTTGTATTTCAGCGCCCAACAATCGTTAGTATCGTGCCCCGGGCTATCGGAGTGATAAGCGCACCTTGCATCTGGGTTATAGTTAGGAGAAGAAGTCTTAGGGTTCGGATGAGGGTTTATCACCGTAATCAGATTCATCTTCAACATATGCTGCAATGCTTGTGACAATGGCATATTGATGTTGGTGAACTGTCTTTTAGGCTCGTCTGGCCTTCGTTGATTTCCCCTTTGCTGTTGTCGGTGTGACGCAGAACCAGAGATCAAGACTGCCCCTATGTGCTGGTCACGACGACTCTTTCGACTGTACACGGCATTGGACTCTTTCTTCCCACTGTAAGGCTTTTTCTGAGCATCAGAAGGTGTAGCCTCTTAAATCTTCCCAGCCTTGATGCCAGATTCAATTCTCTCCCCAGTCAAGATAAGGTCTGTGAACCCGGCTGAAGAATTTCCAATCAAATGGTTGAAGAATGGACCAGACAGAGTCCCCAGAAACATATCAACAAGTTCACGGTCAGTTAAAGGTGGCTGCACCCTTCCGGCAAGATCTCTCCATTTCTGAGCATACTCCTTAAATCCTTCACTCGTCCCTATTGACATACCCTGGAGTTGGGTACGCGTAGGGGCGAGGTCGGAATTATACTGGTACTTCCTATAGAATGCCGTAGCCAAATCTTCCCAGTTGCGGATACTGGCCCCATCCAGCTGATAGAACCATTCGAGTTGAGTCCCTGAAAGACTATCCTGAAAGAAATGGATCCACAAATTCTTATCAGCAGTGTAAGGTTGGATCTTCCTTACATACGACCGGAGGTGCAGCTTTGGGCAGGAGGCTCCGTCATATTTGGCAAAGGCAGGTGCCTTGAACTTACGGGGAATCACCACCCCAGAGGATAAGCCTAGATCTCCAAAGTCCAGTCCGGGCACATTCTGTATCTCCATGGCGCTCAAGCGGTCCTCCAACTGTTTATATCTATCCTCAGCAGGAGGGTACTGCTCTTCATCATAATCCGTCTCGTTGTCAGAGACTACAGGACTAGGAACCCTTCTCTCTTGTGGGATGTCTTTCCCTACAGAGGAGGTGGTCAGATCAACCTTGTTCTGCAGTCCATTCCCAAATCTGCATCCAGTGTTGAATAGGACGGTCCTCTTCTTCTTCTTCTTCCTCTCTTTCAGAATCAGAGTCTTCAAATCTTGTTGACCCTGGGCCAAGCTCATAACCAACTCTTGGAACTGGGCATTCTGGGCCTGGAGGGCCTTGATAGCTTGTTCAGTGGAAGGTTCGGTAGACATGATGATTGCTGAAATAAACAGCGGAGAAGGTAAGTGACCTGTAACAGGATACCTGTAATGCAATGATATGTATGATATATGTATGCAATGTTTTCAAGGATCTCGTGGGGTAAACAGGAAACTTGTTAGAATTTGAATTTTGCAGTTTGATTGAAGGAACTTCATGTTGCTGAGAGTCCTTCTTCAAGAGTCAAAGCTCACCATATCGAGTGGGTCATAGCCCCTGACTCAAGTTATCGTGCTTGGATTTCTGGACAACCTTGGCTAGAGGAAAATACATCCCCTTTGCCCCTTGCTAGACATTTGGTTCATCATGACCTGCATCACAAACCCTTGAGATCCTTGAAATGGTTAAGGAAATGCTATGGTATGATGTTATGATGTGTATGCTATGCGTTTAAGCAAAAGTGCCAGGTGATGTAAGTAAGCTCTGCAATGAATAAGGACTGTAAACAAAACCTGCAAGGAACTCATGTTGTCAGATAACAAGTATGTGCAAGTAGTTCAAGTTTGAAAGCACACAAGTCACAAAAAGAGCCCTTAGATTTTAGGCTAGCATGGAGTTTAGGTATTACCCTCTTGAAGTTAGTTGGCTCAAAACCTGTCCTATAAATAGTAATCGGGTTCTAAGGAGCTCAATATCATTGGATTGTTTTCTATGTTCATTGTTTTGATTTAGCCACTTAACTGGCGACAAAAATATTCCAAGAAAACAACCCTCAATGAGTGTAGTATCGAGTATCTACCAACTTCGGACTGCACCAAAGTCGGTCATCTCACTACCCCTAAAAAAGGCCAGGATGGTCAAGTAAGGTTCTAAGGTCAGTTGATGCTTCGCGACACCACGCGGCGGCCCCGTACTCTCCTTGATAGGGATGGCAACGGGTCAGGTCGGGTGCGGGTTTCACACTACCCACACCCGCACCCGAAATCATCACCCGAACCCGAACCCAAAGGCTATTCGGGTGACAAAATCACACCCGCGCCGCACCCGTTGGGTTCGGGTTTTTTCACCCAAACCCGAACCTGAAGGCTATTCGGGTGACAAAATCACACCCGCGCCGGCACCCGTTGGGTTCGGGGTTTTTCACCCAAACCCAAACCCGCACCAAAAATCAAAAAAAAAATTACAATTAAAATAAGTTCTCTTTACATTGTCTTCAAGAAAATGCAATCACAATTATCTTAACATAGTCTTCAACATCTTAACATTACAATTAAAATTAAATTCTACAATCAAATTACAACTTTTCAACAACAATAAGCTAATATATTACAACTTTCTTGTGTAAGATTAGATGTTCCTTTCGGCTCCAGAGTTGTGTTCACTTGATCTATTTTACCTATTACAAAGAAAATATATTTCACATGTTAAGAAACACTAATAAATATTATCATCATAATTTTAAATTGTAATAACAAACATGTGAAACTTAAAACATATAAAACATGTAACTTAATTCTTGGTAATGCTGAACTTTTAAATTGTAATAAGAAGAATCCTTTAGACCACTTCTTGATACATAAAGAGATGTAATAGCTTACAACACAGATAACATATCGCTTTTAAATTGTAATAATTTTAACATGCCATATTCTTGATAATTTATCATGTTTGCAACTGGAATAAAACTGCCTATAATAATGTTTGTCTACTAACTTTCAGCATGCTTGCATACGCGTTAAATATCATGTTTTTGAACTGTCTAGAAACATAAGCACAACACTAAAAGAACTGTCTAATATCAAAAGCATTAGTGCAAATTAGTCGGGGCAACAATGGTGGAAGATAGAAACAATAATACTCACCATGTTAACATATAGAAACAACAACTTCTAATCTTCAAAATGGTAACCCAAACAACCTTCCATCAACTCAGCTGTATTAACAAATAAATTGATGTTAAATAAAACACTAAAGCTTAAAACTTCTACACCAAATGAAGTACAAAATACCTTCATCGTCTGACTCCATTTCATTCAACACAGTAGCAATTTCTTCTACAACTCTAAAAATTCCTATATATATTATATAACAAGAAAAATTAGTAATATATTATTTGCCAATGACATACCAAAGTAGTAATACATTATATAACAAAAAAATTTAGGTAGAAAGTAAAAATAATTTGACAATGACATACCGTTATTCTCAGCAGCCCATAGCCAACTCCTAGCACACATCAAAGCCTCTACGGTAGTCCAGTTAAGTCGGCTAAGATGAGGACTCAATATTCTACCACTATTACTGAAGGCCGATTCAGAAGCTACTATAGAGATAGGAATAGCTAACACATCTCTTGAAATTGCTTGAAGTGTTGGATACACAACTCCATTTACCTTCCACCAATTCAAAATGTCAAATTCTGGAGCCTGTTACAACCTATAAATCTACAGCCTGTTACAATATATCTTCAGCCCACTGCCAAATAACATAAGATAAACATGAATCAAGGCATTGTAACAATCCACAAGTGAATAAACCAATGATCATCCATACACCAATTCCAAATCCATATGCCTCATAACAGATTTTAAGTCATGACAATTACAATGCATGGAACCATGGTCAAAAGCAATTATTCAAACAAATGAAGGTGTCATATCCTACATGCATTCAACCAAGCATTAAATAGATGTCCAAAACAAATGGAAGCCCTAACCAAGGAAGGAAAACAGAAACAAAGGCATACACATACAATACAGAAGAAAATGGTCATGTGCATATCAAAACCAATGCAGTTCCAAGTGCCATCATTCACAAGACAAACTCATGCATTCATCACAACATCATGCATAATGCGTTATTCAATTCAGTCAGACCATAGCATGAGAAGCTGTGCATTCATATTCGTTCCAAAAAACACATCTCAGTGCCATTCAAAATTCAATACAAAAATAACACATATGCACCAGTCAGTCCAATATCCAGAGCTCATACAATATTCAGAAAAGAGGTCCTTAACCTAGCAGCCATATCCTAAATATCTATTCATTTATATATTTAATCAATAACAAAAATTCACCTACAACACTTCTCAAACAAAACACTACTCTCACACATTCAAATTGCAGGTTTCAGTTCACAAGTCAACATGTCAAATTAAAGCAAATTATGTCATCTGATTCAAGTTTAGAAGCACTCAAAATATCTCATTTCAGTTTCTAACCAATTTAACACAATTCACCTCACTCTTAAGTCTTAACCACTAACCTTTAACCTCACTAACCAACCATAAATGATTTTTGAGATAGACCTTAATTTCCAGCTAACAAACCTGCCACGTGGCACAACAGAACGATCATTTTTCCCTCAAGTCTAACCTCCCTCCATAAATCCATTTCACACTATAACTACCAATTGAACTAAAAAAACTAACTTTGAGACATCCAATAACAAACCCCAAAAACTCTATAACTGAACCCTTAATAGTTTGCCACATGGCAACTATGCAAATACCATTTTACCCATGTTCACAATTTCCCTCCAAATTTCATTCCACACCTAACCCTAGCCTATAACTAACTTACCCTCCAACTTCTAAACAACTTAATCTCCTCCTTCCAATCTCTAACCAACTCTCTTCAATCAAATGGCTTGAATTGAGTGACAAATTCTATAACAGCCCTCACCATTACCTTCATTGACAAGCAATTTTTACCCTAAAGAAACTTTGCTAAATTATCTCCATCTCCCACCCCTCACATAAAAGCTCCTTCAAAATACTCCATCAAAGCTTCACATTGAAGCTTCAACGGAGTAGAGCTCAACCCCATCATTATCTTCATTTTCTCAACCTATTGCTCAGTCCATTATCGTTATCAAATACTTCTTTAATCTCTACTATGATCTCTACATCCTATCTAATCCATTCTACTTCATCAGCAAGAACAACAATCAAGAATATTACATATTAAAGAAATTAAATAAAAAGGGAGAAGAAGAAGAAGAAGAAGAAGAAGAAGAAGAAAAGTTATAAAAGCTTATCAGACAAGTGAAGATTCATCTCTGGGTTTCTCTTATTTTTCTTCACGCCATTGAAATCAACAAGAACCGAAGAGATCCTCGTCCCCGTGGCTAGGCCCTTCATTCATCTCCTTCTCTTTACGCATTATGCTTGTTACCATGTTGATCTACTTGAGATTTCGAGTAGAAACCCTAATCTATTATCTTGATTTCATCCATGGCTGGGGTTTATTTTAGGATCGTTTAAAAATTAAGTTTTGTTCTAAACCATGATTTTAGGTGATTCGGGGGTTTAGGGTAGATGTTCAGGGACAAAATAGGTTCAGGATGCAAAGTTGAAAAGGTTGGTTTGAAGTTTATGAGGTTCGAGGCCGCGCCGCCGCCATAAGAGATTTCTGTCGTGACAGCGGCGATTTCCAGCGAAGATGGTGCCATTGAGAGAGTGAGAAAGAGAAGGAAATTTTTTTGTACACATCTTATGGGTGGGGAAAGAAGTGAGCACGCGTGATGTACTACCCTACATTTTATTTTTAATTATTGAAATATATATATATATATATATATATATATATATATATATATATATATATATATATATATTTAGGGATAGTTTTGTAATTTAACATATAAGCGGGTGTGGTTTCGGGTTTCGGGTGCGGGTTTAAGCTATCCCAAACCCACACCCGAAATATCGGGTGGCACCCGAACCCGAACCCAAACCCAGTCAATTCGGGTTTCACCCGTTGACTCGGGTGCGGGTGCGGGTGGGGCCCGCGGGTTTGGGTATGCTTGCCATCCCTACTCCTTGACTTGACTCAAGGGTTACCGGTACTCACCAAAGTGCCACATCAATGTAGCTACTGCTTCAACCATGTCAGTATACCCCACACAGTTCCCTCACAGTTTGTTGCTACTTCTAAAGGGTATCCCCAGATCCGGGTTAGCATCTATAAAAACTCCGATACAAGCCCATAAAGTTTAAAGCATACAAAGTATACGATTGAAAACACAAGTGATCTAATCCTAAGGTACACCTCACTTATTAGAATCCCCAACAGAGTCGCCAGTTCTGTGATCGGTGGGAACGAGAACTGACTGTTTTGGATCCACGACCTCTTAGGTACTTGCTCACTATGTTTTCAAAAATGTTTTCTTTTCTTGTGTTTGTGGGTTTTGAAAAAAGTTTGTTTGAAAACTTCGATTTAACTCTTGTATCTGTCCTCAAGAGTGTATGAAGTGTTTGTTTGAAAAACTTTAGTCAGAAAAGTGTAGGTGCGAAAAGTTGTTTTTGTTTTGAAAAGAGCAAGTACCTGAGAACCTCTACCTACTCAAAAGAAATTAAGCTGTGTAAATGTCCTTTAGACAGTACTATCCCACTATTGAGAAGTAGGTAGCACCGTCGTTGGAGTTTCGGGTCAATTCGATTATATGGGACATGTGGTCACCAAAGCAATAATAGGACGCCTTAGCGGTAACCCTAGTGTCTTAGATTACTTTTTATCGAGGCTACCGTTTCGAGGAAACTTTGATCTTTAGACAGGAGGGCGACCTCTAAAACACCCTATACTCAATGACCACGTCGAGGCAACCAAATGAGGCGTACCCTAGGAGTGGTATGTGCGAGTGTGTCAGGTTTCAATTATGTTATCTTTGTACATGTTATGGTGAGCTACGATTGATTTTAATTTAAGAGAAGTCTTGTCATGCATAGCCTAATTAGCATACATCTAGCAGTTAATAGTTGCGGAAAGTAAACTAAGCTATTACAAGGCGTTGGGGATTTACATCGCCAAAAATAACCCTTGAAAAAGTAAATTGTGGGAAATTAAATAAAAGCGATAAAAAGGTCCTACTTAAATCTATTACATCCTCGGAGAAATTACATAATAATGGATCAAAATATGAATCAAGAATAATCACACGCGCGAGAAAAATTGGATCGGAGAGTTTTTTAGGGTTTTGACCCTTTTTTGAGAAAGAAGGAAGTTTTGCTATTTTGCATTAAATTAAACCTAAGCTAATTAATTAATTAAAAGAAAGAAATATTTTTTTGAGTTTTTTAAGTTTCAAATAAATAAATAAAAGATGGTCAAAATTGTCAAGAAACCCTAATTCTACATTAGTTTTAGATTTATTGTGAAAATATTAAAATTAACCTAATTAACTAAATAAATTAATTATGTTAGTATTTATTTACAAAATAACTAATTAAATTTAATAAAAAAAATATTATATTTTTCATGTTTTCTGATTTTATTATGAAAAAAATTAATTTGGTTAATTAAGTAATAATAATTATTAATAGTAAAACAATTAAATGGAAAATATAAAAGAAGAAAAAAAAGAATAACCCAGTGGGTGATGGGCCCAAAGAGGAGGTGTTTCTGGAATTCTGAAGCCCAATAATGCTCAAGCCTGTTTGACTTTCTGGGATATCCACACGCTTGTTGACTAAGGACTATGGTGGTCCTTCAATTTTGGCCATTGGATCCAGGTTTGAAGACACCCGGCGCCTGGAAATTGGAGGTGTATGATTGACCTCGCTTTGAAGCTTGCACATGAATACCTGAAAAATAAAAGCAACAATGTTTTGGGGGACCTGGGATTCGAACCCAGGTCCCAATGTTCACATGCCAACGCCTCAGCCACTACACCATCATGATTCAATTGATATTGGAATAATAAGCATTGATTATATATGCAAACAAATTAATATGCTGAAATTATAAAAACAAACGCGCGCTTTTTCAAATTAACCAATGGGACACCAACACCTCATCATCTTCTTCGTTTGTACCTACATATTCAGAATCAGATAGCGGGGGTTTTTAACCCCCACTAACCACTACAAGGAAAAATAGCGATTAGCACCACAGTACATATAAATATTTCGCGAGGGGTTGGTCAGGTTCGTCTGGGTCTCATAAGCTCAACCATGTGTCTCACTAGTCCTAATTTTCCCCGGTTCAGAAAGCCCTAATTGGAAGCTCAAGAACCCTAGAAATTTGTTCATGGCATCTTTTGATTCAGGGCCTTATAATCTAATTCGATCATACCATTAACTTCGTATGGTTCCTGGCAATGCAAAACAATCATGAAAACATGTTAAATGCGCATGAATTAGGCAATACGATTTTGAATCAAAAAGGCAAACCGTGATTCTGTATATGACGTTTCTTTGAGCTTTAATGCCTGAGTTTTATTGCAAAACGTTCCTGACAATTCCTGTAATGTGTTTGAATGAGTAAAGCGCCTTGAATCGGCCTGGAATGCAAAAATCAGTTTTCAATTTTCTTGGAATTTCTTCAATGCGCTATGGTTGTTTCTGCATCTTTTTCACGTCCATTAGGTCAGGGTTTGCTTCCTTGCATATAAGGGAAACAAATTAGGTCAAAAAGCTGGGCCAATATCCATTGCATTGATGATTGAATCCTTGATTGAAAAATCAAATATCCTTGATTTTCATGATTGAACAAACTTGCCAAAATTGGATTTTTCTGTATCTTTGACTTGTGCACGAATTTTCCAGCATGTTTAGGTCATATTTTCTTCACAAGTTGATTTAAAAAATCAAATCTTCTATTTTCCTATAATTTAAATTGATTAAATGAACTAATATTAATTAAAAATTCAATTAATCAATAAAAATAAGAAAATAAATTCAATTAAGCTTGATGGGTCGTGCATAGGTCATGGGTGAAGTTTCGAGAAGAGATTTGAGGCCCATTAGCAAAAATAAGGTGTTTTGAGCAAAGTTGACTTTTGCAAATTCATAAAAATTTCCCAACTTCTCCAATGCACAACTTGCTCAATTTTAATCATATGACCATGTTCTCTGACATTTTGGAACACTCTTGAAGTCCTCTAACCAATGCCTTTGGTCCCATGTCATTTGGATTTACCAATCTCAAGTTATGGCCTTTGACTCAAAGTGCACTTTTGTTGACTTTTGAAATTGACCTATAATGTAAAAATTGGTAACTTTTTGTGAGAGCATTTATTGAACTTTGAGTGTGAAGATGGATTGTAGGAAATTTCATGCCCTTAAAAATGAGAATTGGATGGAATTTTTATGACAAACTATGAAAAAGTTATGCCCTGGTCAAGATACAGTTGACTTTTCTACTGTCCAAAAATAGTAACTTCTTGCATCTTGATGATTTTTGAGCTATTCTTGTGGAATCATGATCAAGACTTGATCAAATGATGATTATGAACTCAAAATAAGATGTTGACCAAAAATTCTGACATTTGACTGCAAAATGACCATTTTGCCCTTGTAGTTGCCTGTAGATCAAATGAGGCTTTTGACTATGCAACTTGGCACTGTGAGTCTTGAAATTTGGCATGTAGGTGCTTGAGAATGTATATAGGCCTATGAGACTTGATTGAACCATTGGAAACCTCGAATTCCTTGCAAGGACCAAAACCCTAATTTCAGTTGTCCTAGGAGATGGTTTGACTGTCTACCTCTTGAGCCATTTTGAGCAATTTGAAGATCATTCTTGACAAATCTTGAGGAATATGGGAGGGCAAATTTTGGGGTACAACAGTTACTAACATGATGTTCTCATCCGGGAATTCAAAGTTCATAGACTGGTAATCATCCACTGCCTGATGTGTCAAATGATCTGCCAATACACTTCCCTTGATTGCTTTTTGGGTCGTATACTGGATGTCATACTCAGTCAAGATCATCTGCCATCTCGCTATTCTTCCGGACAAGGCAGGCTTCTCGAAGATATACTTGATTGGATCCATCTTTAATATCAATAGAGTAGTGTGAGTCAGCATATACTGTCTCAGCCGGCGAGCAGCCCAT